TGGGGGGGGGGGAAGGGGATAGAGAGGCAGCAAGGTTGTGTGTGGGGGGGGGAAGCGAGTAGTCGAGTAGTTGACTCGACTACTCATTTACATTCCTAATCTGGGGTTCAGTTCCCCTTGAGGCCAGGCATTTGGGTGCTGAGGTAAGTTCCTTTACTGAGCCTCCCAGGGCTGAGATGATCTCAGTGTCTGTATTATACTGCAGAGGGCTACCTCTGAGTCACTGCTGGAGGAGGTGGGAGAGCCTAGCTCAGCAAGACAGAGCTGAGGGGTGCCTACGAGGTCCCTGCGACCAAACCCGTCACGCTCATGTGAGCAAGGCAGGGTCTATACAGACACTGTATCACTCTAACGACACTGATATAAGCCCTACACCTCTCATGGAGGCAGGGTTATATGTTGGTGCGGTAGAGCACTTACATTGCCGTGTAGACACTGACATAATTAGGCTGACTTAAGTTGTCCTATCTGCGTAGAGTAGACCAGACCTCACTTGGGAGAGTTCTTTTATTGTTGGCCTCCCTGCCTGTGCCCAGCATGTGTTGTGCTGCCTCTATTGCTGTTAAACATCTCTCCAAGGTGCTGCTCATGGCTTTTCTCGCTGTAGAACAGGACGTAATGGTTGGTGCTTAGAGTGGGCACTAGAGCTCTGGGGTCTGCTCCCAGCGAGCTCCCTGCCTCTGTGTGTGACTGAGGCAAACCTCATGATTTCCTGGCTTCCATTTCCCGCTTTGCGAAACGGGGATAATATCTGACCTTCGTAAATAACTCTTGCTTGTAAGGTCTTTGGAAGATCTTACATGCTACTGACTGTACGTGCTAAGTATTATAAGGTCTGAGATCATTGTTGGGAAGGGCCTCTGCCTAATTCTGAGTTATTTTCTGGGGGAATGTTGATTTTTCTCTACTAGAGCTAATACAAAACTGAAAACCATAAAATAGTGGTGAATGGCCCGGGAAAGGAGAAGGTAATTTATACATTCATTTCCATTGGTTGGAAATGTGACTAAATGCTCTGTCCTTTAGCAGCATGCCCAGTCATTCTCAGTTTGTACCCATGACCAACATGGCTGTGCAAGCTGGAGGAAGCTGAAAGTGAAACCTTGCTCTGTAGAGCCAAAAGAATGGAGTGCATGCTATGGGTTTCCTTTTCATGCTGTGCGGTTAATGTACAACCCTACTTTTCTCTGAGCACTTGTATAAGGCACCTCACCTGGGAATTCTCAGACTTTTGTAGTGCACTAGCCAGGTTTTAATAGATTGTCATGTAGCCCACACCCTGCCCTGCTTAGGGTCATGCGAGATCACCGTGGCAGCTTCAACAATCGCTTTCAGTGATGGATGATACTAGGAAAGTATTTGGGTATTTCTAGCTAGCCTTTAATGCAACGGAGCAGCTTGAAATAAAGAGGGGAAGCCAGAACCATGTGATCAGCCCGTCTCCTGCAGTGGGAATATTTGAGCTAGACCATTGCAGTGTTGTTGGTATTGCAGAGTTGCAGTCCATCAGGACTTGGTTTAAACTATCTCATTCCTCCTCGCCCCACCCTCCTCCCAGCCAACTATCTCATAGACTTGGGACTACAACTATGAATGAGTTTTTCCCCTGCTGGTGTGTTAAAATAGATGATAGCAGATGACTATTATTGCTGCCCAGTGTGAACAGTACTGGTGAATGGGTAGTTTCTTTTTTAGGTGTGTAATGCAGCCACAGAACTGTGCAATAATAGAATATATAATAATTATTACATAGCCAGACACTATTTACATTCTCAGTGTTAACATAGGACTTCCCATTTCAGCTGTAACTACATCACCTTGTGTATATAAATATATGTACACATGCATGCATATTCACACAGAGGTTAATTTTGTTTGAGATAGCTCTGTCCTGCCCAGTTCCAATCTCAGTAAATTTTGTCTGCCTATATAACTGTCTACAACAATTTAAATTGGAAAAGTACTAGCCAGTAGCATTAAGCAATGATTGTGTTCCATGCCAGAGATGGATGCATTTCAGTAGTTAGGTGAGGTCGTCTCTGAGTAATCTGTATTTCAGTTTGTTTGTTTGTAAGTACAGTGGGTCCTCTGAAACACAATCTGTTGCCTTGATTTTTTTTCTTCTTCCATAGTTTATGAGGTGGTGACTGTGACTGGAGATGTAAGAGGAGCAGGAACTGATGCCAATATCTTTGTTACTCTCTTTGGAGAATTTGGGATCACTCCAAAGACTCATCTCACTAGCAAGTGAGTATTAGAGAGAACTGTGTATCTCTAAGGGCCGCTCGGCATTTTATATTTTTACTGCTTTTGTTAAAACAACAGTATTTTGCTGGTAGATGCAGCTGGAACATCGCCTAAATATTTGCAGATTTTGTGAACAAAATGCATATACAGGCAGTCCCCGGGTTACATGGATCCGACTTACATCGGATCCCTACTTACAAACAGGGTGAGGCAACCCCGCACTAGCTGCTTCCCCCCAGCAGACCAGAGAGACGCGAAGCTAGCACCCCTCCACCCCAGCAGACCAGGGAGACGTGGAGCGGCTTTTCTCAGCAGACACCTCAGCTTGAGAATAAAGGACTGAGGGAAGTGAGGTGTGGGAGAATAAAACTGAGCTCTGGAGAAATGTTTGGCTAGAGTTTCCCCTACAATATGTACCAGTTCCGACTTACATACAAATTCAACTTAAGAACAAACCTACAGTCCCTATCTTGTATGTAACCCGGGGACTGCCTGTACATGCTTTTGGGTATGACTCACTCCAGTGCGCTGCAACCCCTCATGGGTAAAGCGCTGCAGACAATACTTTGTAAGGTCCAACCCTGCAATTTGCAGAACACTCTCCTTTTCAAGATGTTAGACTGGAATGGTGAGCACTCCTTGCCTTGCAGATCTGTCTTGAGTGCCTACATCTCTTTGACACGCCATTCCATACATCTGTCATGGTAACACTAGCAGGGTTCTTGGTGCATCCTGCCTCCTTTATCACAGTATTGAAATTAAAGAGGTCAATATTTTCCTACCTGGGTGACTCAGGGTAGGCGTCTGATTCTATCTATAGTCACCTATGTAGGCAGCCTGTTTTTCATAATTGTTCTGACCACCAACAACTTCCCGTGCAATCATGAGGAGCTGCAGCACCTTTGAAAAGGATGCCTAATGATGGATGCAAGAGCCTATCTCAAGCCACCCGGGATAGAAAATGTTGACCTTTGCCATTGACAGTTATAATCCAGACCCTTTGTCTGGGGCATGGAATGTAAAGGGTTAACACTCTGGCCTAGAGATCAAGGCAACTGCCTGGAACAAGTCCAAAAGAAGAGCTGGTGCAGGAGGGAAATGGGAGGCCAGATCTTCTTCTGGTCTGAGTCCATTGATTTTGATATGGATGTGTCAGGGGACACCTGCTAACCGGCTAGCTCTGTGCATAAAGAAAACATTTCAGAATACTACTATTTTTAAAAAAAATCAGCCTATTTCTGCTTTATGGGATCTGTCCTTAGGCTATGGAAGGTTGGAACATGCTAAGAACAGACAGGAAAGTCGCTGCGGGGGTCTTCATGCTCCAGACGTTATTAATTTACAATTAAAAACATTACGGAGCTTTCCTTATGGCACAACAAGCTTGTGAGACTAGAGTTTTGTTTGAAATATGCCTGGCTTTCCCTGGTCCTGTTGGTAATATTCATTTATCTCCCACAGGCTCTTTCTCAGAGGAGAGAGAAATCTAGTGCAATATCTGGTACCCCACAGGCTCCTGAGAAAGCTCTTTGACCAATCTGGGTTTTGTTACATAGGAATCTGAGGGTGGGGATTGAAATTTGTGTCACTAACTTGGGCGTTCTGTGCACAGGGTTGCACATGCAAAATTGCTCCCATCCTTAGTCTATTGTTTTGAAAAAACTGTTTTACATATTTTTCTTGTATTACTCAGTCTCTCAAACTGAGAATGCGGATCCCTTTTGTGAAGCTTTGTACAAAGTGTAATGGCTGCTATCTTGACTAGCACCAGGGGCTGAAACTAGGGTATCCAAGGTTAAACCATGAGTTGATTGATATAGCTTGAGCTAAGGAATCTAAGCCCTATAACTAGCCCTGTAACAGACTCCTATCATTGGTGGATCGGCACAGATAGGGACCTGTAACATACACTCATCAGTGGGTTATGCAAGTGCAGTGAGACAGTCCTTGACTCAGAAAACTTGCACTCTGAATAGATAACACACATGGCTGGGGAAACTGAGGTACAGGGAGTTGAAGTGACTTGCCCAAAGGCATACACAGTAAGTTAGTGGCTGAGTTGGGACAGAACCCAGAATTCCTGCCTTGCAGTCTAGTTCGCTGTTCACATGATCATATTTTTTTAAACAACAAATATCATTTGGATTTTAAAACCCCAAGGAAACTGTGCTCTGTTTGCCCTTTTTGAAAATTACTGACTCTGAGGAGAACAAATCTGTTTGATTTTCTGAGGACTTCACTTGATTCAGAATCAACATTGGTCCAGAAGAGATTCCTCTGAGTCCAACAGCTTGATAGAGCTATGTGTTAGCTGCATCTGCTCAGACTAACGTGCTGATAACAAAATTGTCTGAAATATTAAAATATTATTGCGCGACAGTGTTTAACTTCCCCTTTGGCAGAGCAATGTTTTCATAGAAAAATATTAATTTCTTTTACCTGTAGAATCTAGTGGGGATCATAGGTCTTATCTATCATTGTTTTCTAGTTTAGTGTTGCAAATGTGTTTCAGAAAATACTAACTCTCTGTTAACGTCATATGGTAACTTCACATTTTCTCCATTTCTACAGCACTGACAAGAGGTACCTGCAACTATTTTAAATTTTATCCTCAAAAGAGCTTCTCTTCCCAGTGAAGCAACTCAAACATGAGAATCTGTAAAGAAAAATGATATGGGAATGGTAACGAAAATACATGTAATTTCAGACCTGTTTGCCATATTTGATATCCTGAAATCACTACTCACAGAGGTTTTTAGTTTCATTTTTACTATTCCAGCCATCATTAGCAACAGCTGTGAGAACTTGCTGCATATATATATTTATGTTAAACTCCTAATACAACCTATCTCTTATCCGTAGATCTCAAAGTACTTTACAAGGTAGGTATCATTTGCTCCATTTTACAAGTGGGGAAACTGAGGCACGCAGCTACAGGGTGACTTGCTCAAGTTCACAGGGCAGGTGCATGGCAGAAGGAGCAGAACCTGGTTCTTCTGACTCCCCATCTGCTCCCCTACTCAGTGAACTCTGCTACTTTCACATTGCAGCACTCCTATCTGCCTTAGGGTCATTGGTAAGGCCATTAAAAACACCTGGTTTTCAGTGAGTTTTATCCTGGTCAGCTTTTATGTGAGGAAGTGCTTTTGGGTATGTCTACAGAGCAGCTAAAGACTCGGCTCGCTTGGGCTTTCTGTCTGGGGCTGTACAATGACGGTGTAAAATCTTCAGACTTAGGCTAGAACCTGAGCTCAGGAATCCCAAGTGGGGAGGGGCCCCAGAGCCAAGACTCCAGTCTGACCCTGAATGTTTATACTAGTTTTACAGCCCTAGCCCAACTGCTGCTGTCTGGAATTAGCTGACATGGGCCAGCCAGCAATGGGTCCTTTTTTTGCTATAGAGATATACCCTTAAGTTGCACTTAAATGTTGTTCTGCTGGTGGCCTTGGAAAGACTCCAAAACACACTAAAAATATTGCATGCTCTTGAAAGGGGAAGTGAGGCTATCCCAGTAAAAACATCCTGGCCATGTTTTAATCGGTGATCTTAAATGAGTTACAAATGTGTGTACGTCAATTTCACTGACACTTTAGTTAATGATTTTTCCTTCCCACACCATGTGTTGTCTTGAAAGAGAGAAGAGAAGGTAGTGATTTTACTTTAGCATTGGCATAATGACTGTTCAAGCACATTGTGAGGGCAGCTAGCATTATCAACTTCACCCTGGTTACAGGGGAAAGCAGAGGGCTAAGATGGCTGGAAATGAGAACAAGTCACACCAAACAAACCATTTGCATTCTAAGGTTCTTAAAATTTGGTTCCCTGGGAGCTGACCATTTCTACTCTATTTTTTCTACTCATGCTTTCCTACATGTCAGCTAAAATTTCAGCACCTGTGAGTGAATGCTTAAAGCTTTGTGGTGATTTATCAGGCAAAAATAAGAGGAAATAATTCCAGATATAGGTGGGTATCCTATTGCTTAGTTAACTAAATGTTTCTCCTCAGTATGAAGTGAGCAAATGGAGTAGTCAGACTGCTCATAAATGTTTTATTTAACTTTATGAATATGGCAAAAGGATGGAATTTCATGCATCTTCCAACTAGAAGTTTATATAGAGTTCACTGGTGAAATTATTGCAAATGCATGACATTTTATATGTGTTTATTTTATGGCATAGATGGTACGATAAAATACCATGCATTTCCTAATGAAGGAACTACCATTTCAGCTTCTGGTTAGCACAGAGGTGGGTTTTTTCTTTGTGATTGTGTGCTGGTAGTGAAATACATGACATTTCAGACCTTTTAGTCATGCACACATAACTTCAGAGTAAAATTATGACGAGGCATGACAAGCTGATGAAATATCATGTGTTTTTTTAACCTTTTGTCCAACAATAAGGTAACTGTAAAAACATACATGAATTGTCATACTGACTTGTCATAAACCTGAATTCTGGGAACTGAAGCTTCCAGACTCTTTCCAGTATAATGAAAGAGGACTTTTTTGAGCCCATTAAATAAGGTTAAATAGTGTCTAAGGACTTCAATATACTAGGTCACATTTTTTTTTCTCCTACAGGTCTTTTGCACTTTTCCAGCAGAAAGCCATTGTAAATTTGGTGGATCTGGTATAAAGAAAATGTGCAGGTGTCCTGGAATGAGTGTAATGGCTTTGTGCTACTGGTCTCAGAGCCCCAGCATAGTATGTCATGGCTAGGGTAATGAGCAGAACACTGGACAGCTGGGAGAAGGCTGGAGCAACACGGAGGGTGTTTAGTTTTCACAGCCCCAAGCCATGCCCACAACCAAAAAGCTACACAGGAGAAGACCACTTTGCCTCCAAAGTGCAGTCCTGTATCCAGTGCAGTTCAACCAAACTGTAGAAGAGGGATGGGCAAATACAGGCCCATGGGATGGATCTGGTTCACCAGGGCTAGTCCCTGACAGGCCCCCATCACTATATTTACCTGTACAGACGATTGCAGCTCCTATTGGC